TGAAATAATTCTGAATAGTAGAGCTGTATACTCCTCCTCTGACTGTTACGCTGGGTCCTGACCTCCATTCTGGAGGTCATCGGGGAACAGATTTTTACCTTTGCTTTCATTTTATTGTTGGCACATCACTGTTGAATTGAAGACTTTAAGATGCATTTGAAATCTTTTAAGGATCAGCCAACTGAATCCAGGACATAAACTGAAATTGTTCATAATGAGGTTATAAAATGGAAGCTTTCTATAATATTTCTTTTAAGTGGCCACTTCTGTGGTCTCTTATTCAGCCACTGTCCTGCTTATCTTCACAGGAATCAGTGTGGCTTTAAGTTATCCCTCTACAATTTACTGCAATAGAAAGGAAAGGAAATCTAGGTGATGTTTCTTTTTCTTTCTGACCCACCTTTTCTTTTAATAAGGTTTTCCCTCAGATTAATGACTCCACCATACTTTCATTATTTTAAAATAAAAATAATTTAAGCTGTTTAATAATTAACCTCTCTCTCCTTCTACAGAACTATGTAGGGAGGAGTGAATTGCAACTAAAAGTTTCGAGCAAACCAGTACTGCATTAATTCAGATACAGAAAACAAGAAAAGTGTCCCATGTAGGTGTGAACAGATCTCTTTTTGAGCGAGGTCCAGTTACACAATGTCATGTTTTCATTTTTTTTAAATCCATTTACTCCACTGACTACACAGTATGCCTACACTGCAAAAGCTGTGCATGGGCTAGCCTACCTAATCTAGTTTAAATTCAGCTAGTGTGGATAACCGTAGCAGTGAAGACAGTGCAGTGAAGACCTCAGCGCAGATTTCCTGGGGACAGCATACTAGTCTGCTCTGAAGCCTGCGCTGTATTGTCTTCACTGCTCTTTGATATCTCTGCTATCTCAGGTAGGCTAGCCCCGTACACAACGTTTGCTCTACAGATATACGCTAAGAGAGAGCTCATGCTGTATTGTTGTGGAACAAAGGTCTTTCAGACAAGTAATGACAACATGAATAATCTATATGATCTATCTTACTAAATGGTATAAATTTACAGAAAACCGAGAGAGAGAGAATCTATCACATGCACATGCATCCCTGAGAGTATTGTTTTTTTTGCCATATAAATTAATTAACTTTTACTGGGCGGGGTAAACAATTTCTTTGAATGAGATTTTAATTAGTGTACTGCGATATGTTGAGGGAGATGGCTTCCTAGGTACACAACCGTACCTGATTGTGTTAGTGAAGTGTATTTTGGTACCATTGCTATCTAAATGTAATAGTTGTATGTATTAACTGCTTTCTGAGCTACATCCCCAGATGTGTGATTTTTCACATATATGTATAGGCTCACTCTGTTATCTGTCATCTTCAACATTTATCTACCTTTTACTGAATAAATGCTCTTTTGATGTGACTTGTATAATGTGCATTTCACTAATAAAAAAAAATAGTTCCAACACAAACAAACTAAGCTATATATTTTTAGAAAAATCAAAATCTCATCCACTTTTGGTGCATACACCTGACAATTTGATGGCTTGGCCTGGTGCCTTTCCCAAAGTCTTATGGAGAAGCTCAACTTTCAGAGTTACTTTAGGATTTTGCTGACAGTTCCTGCTGTAGCAGCCACTGGATTTCTTCCAGAATTAGAAAGGTTTGAGTGAATGGAAACTTTTAGCCTGCTATTTTAAAGTAAGCCCTTCTCTCTGTAGCACGCACACATGCTACACCATTATATTTTGCTGTGATTAATAAAAACCCTAAGCTTTGTTTAGAAAGCTGAAGTTGTTAGTGGCTACAATTGTGTGAGTGAAAAGATGGAAAAAATTATCAGGAATCTTAAAGATTCCTCACTCTCAGAACTGAAAATGAAAACTACAATTCCATATGCATCTGTAGTGACATGACGCACTATCCTATTTGAATATACCTTTCCTTATCATGTCTTTATCTGCAGAAACCTAGTAGAATTGTTGTGTGTTCTGTGCATTAAAATATTTTGCTCTAAGAGGGAAAAGTGATCTCATCCCTCCTGTTCAGGGAAAGAATGATATTGAGCTCTTTCCTTTGTTTATAAAGCCAACACCTTGGTAAATTTATGTATTAAATTATTTCTCCGGGTTTCCACTGTCATAACTTTAAAACAAATACTTTTTAAAAAAAGTAAAGAGACCACTTTGTCTGAAATTCATAGAAAGCTGATAATAACATAAAGAGACAAGGTGGATGAGGTAATACCTTTTCTTGGATGAGCTTACACGGAGCTGCTCTTCAAAGAGCTCTGTGTAAATTTGAAAGTTTGTCTCTCAACCAATAGAAAGTAAAAACCAGTAAAAGATATTACCTCACCCACCTTGTCTCTCTGATATCCTGGGACCAACATGGCTACAACAACACTGCAAACAATAATAGTCTTTCACCTCTAGGTCGCTGCTTCCCAAATTGCCAGTGACAAAAGACGTTTCTGTGTAATGACTTTACATGAAATGAATAGGTGGTCTCAGTCCTGTTCAGAATGCACAGGTGTCCACATCTTAATTGGCACGTTTGTCTACAGTATCCGCTTCTGTGTCTTACCTGCTGGTCTTTCCTCCTACCCTTAGTCTCTCCAAGATCAGAATGGAAGAGCACTGGTGGGCCATTATAGGGAAGCTTGCTCTCCTGCTGCCTGTTAAAATAATCTGTGGCTAAATAGTGCATTTAAGACTACAGGGCTGTCAGTTCAGTCTGGAAAGACAGCCCATGGACAGTCTCCAAATGAATAACCAAGAACTGATTCAATTTGTCCTTCTGTGCTTCTCATGAAAACACACGTTGCCTCCCCCCAGGAAATTTTAGTAGGAAATGAGTTTTTAAATAAGACCCAGCAAACATGTGGGCACAGCCATTCTTGGTATTTCATAAGGGGTTAATAACTCTTATTTGATTTTTCAAACCATAAAACATCTTTCATTTCCCAGGAAAATTGTCCTAATGCAGCAGTGTCGGTTTGGAATGAAGAATAACTTTATTTCTGAGATGATGTTTGCTAAATTGAATATCCCATTTATCTTCCTCAGTGATTTTTTTTTTTAAAGTGGTTCTTGTTTGTTGGCTGTAAAGGGAGAATGAAAAGGAAATAGAATGCTGAATGCACAGTTCAAATCCACTGTTGCTACTGTTTTCTAAACCGGGTTTATTACGGACGCCTGTGCAGTGACCACAAATAGTGTGTGACTGTGTGTGTGCTTAAACAAAAAGGAAAGCAGAGGTTTGCTCATTTGTTTGCCTATTGTGAAGCTGTCCTGCACCTTTATGCTCCTTTGTAACAGGGTGAAGGCTGCTGAATGGAGGACTTGTGCCATTTGTTGATTTTAAACCTCGCTGTTAATCCACAGGAACCTGCTGGTCTACACAGCAGGAGAGCTGTGTGACAAGTGGAAATCTGGGAGGGGAAAAAGCAGGAGGGGGTGTGTGTCACAGTAGATAATAATGATTCAGCCATCAGCCTTTGTCACCCGTAAACCTAATTGTTACCCTCTGCTGGTAACCAGATTGAAGTGCTAGCCTTTTAAGTGTTCCTTGATTTTACTTGAAACATGCTTATGATGGATAGACCAGTTTATTGTTGGTTTACATACTACTATCAGTTTTGTTAGCTTTTGTTTTTAAACCTTGTTAAATTTTCTCTTGATCTTATTTCTTCTTCATTAACATTTTTGCAGTACAGCTCAAAATGACAGAGATGGCTGGGTGAAAACAGTATGGTTGTTCACATATTTCCCTTTGTCAGACTTTCATTAGAGCGGGGCAGAAAACTACTGCTCTGCAAACTAATTTTTGTGGTGTCACTCTATTGTCAATAACTGCTGTTGGACTAGGGAATCTTAGCTATAGGAATAGTCCTTTATAAGTAGCAGCAGTGTAATTTTTTAGAGTATGGGTGGGGGTGGGGTGGAGAGAATCTTGAGATACACTTTCAAGCCAAAAAATGTAGCCTTTTAAAATAATTGTTCTTTTAGGTATTTATCAAAATTGTAAGATAGGGAAACAAAAACAATTTAAGCCAGCAATCTGTTGTACAAATTGGGGAGAAATAAAAAACCTGAAGATGAAATGAAACAAAACAGAAAAACCTTTAAGGTGTGATACTTTTTTCCTGCACAATCAGAAACTGGTTCTTCAACTTTTCCTGCCAGTTATACATGCTAAAATAAGCATTTCACATTCTGTCCTCCTCGACTTTATGTGTAGAAGTTGGTAACCTAAAGTATAGTGACTAAGATTATCTCTGCAACTTGGGAAGTATTTTTTCTACGTGGTGTAAGTGATCTTATGCCATTATGTAACACTGCTTAGGCTTGTGCGCTGGCCATAGGAAGGCCTCTTGACTTTCACGTAAGTTGCTGATATAGACATAGATGTACCTTTGATCAACTCTAGTTCTTTTCTGGAAAGTGTGTGTGTGTGTGCGCGTGTGTGTGTGTGTGTGTATATATATATACACACACACACAATTTCACACAATTGCAGAGAGGGTTTTATGGGTTGACAGCTTATGTTTGAAAGCTTTGTCGGGATGGTGGTGGAGTCTGATTACATAGCGTGATTATATAGCATTCTCAGATCCAATATTGTAAGATCTTCCAACTGGTTCAATATTTCAACAAAAGATTTGCTCTCAATATTTGATCATCTGGAGAATATTTTGGCTTCTTAATCTCTCCAACCTCTCAAAAAAAAGTATTTAATTGGTTATTTTAACCTGTACCAGAGGAACACAAATGGAACACACAACTCTGTTTAGACTCTGTCATTCTTATTTCTTTATAAAACATTAAAGTCATAATGGCACCCAATAGGACCTGATGTTCCACTGAAAAATAAGGTTTGTCTAATACAAAATTTTGATTAAAAAAAACAGATGAGAAGTCAACTGTTATCTCTTCACCTTTCCTTCACATGGGTTTAGCTGGACTGCTGTGGCATATGAATAACCATAGTGTTTTTATAATTTTGTTTTTGCAGGACATGTCTCAGGAAGGCTATGGAACCAGATCCCAACCCCCTATAGCCTCAGGAAAGCCTAACCATGAAGACTTAAACCTAATACAACAAGAAAGACCATCAAGCTTACCAGTAAGAAATTAATGTGCCAGTTGTAGAATAGTAGTACATTATTTTAAAATGAAAAATATTTTATAAAGATCTTACTGTCGCTATGATATGTGGATGAAATTTTGGGATGACAAATATATAACAATTTTAGTACCGCATTTGTTTTAAAAGCACAATGAAAACTGATTACAGTGAATGATCAATATATTATCTAGGGTAATCCCGTATCCCTTAGAGGAAGTCTTTTAGTCAGATAGTTAATTTGGTATTAATTTGTTTAGTGGCCATCACACAGTTTGCCATATTAAATATAGTTTATTCTGTCAATGTAAGATTCAGATATTGTGTGTGTGTTTGTGTTCATAGCTTGAACTGGTTCAGGACTGAAGCTGATTCACATATTTGTACCCAGATTTGTCTGTGCGTGGAGAGGAAAGAGTATCGCTCCTTCTTAGCTTTTTTGGTTTTGCAGTCATATACAAGAGAATTATTCAGGGTCTTTTTAACTCCTGACTCCTCCTTTGAGGGTTTTCTCCCCTGAAATATGTTTTGATTTTATTTCAAAAACCTTGTAGGCATAAGTAAGGAAGCAACACTGCCATGAGTTATTCCCTCCAAACCCCAAACACAGTTCATTAGTTGTCAGCATAGTATGAGACACTTGCAAAAATACTGGACACATCTTTTCACAAGTTAATTCTGTTTTAGTCTATTGGAACAGTCTAAAGAATTATATTAATCAGAATTATAGTAACACTTTATATTGGTCTGGTTATTATCACTTGAGTTTTTGTGCTAGATGATCATGTTAAATTAACCTTGCCTAGTTGTATTAGCTTTATGCATAATTGAAAAAAACAAACTAACACCGATAAATTGATACACTTAGCAGAGACATCAGGACTATCTGCACACGGAGGTCTTCAGTGTCCTGATAAATGCCAGCTGTAAGATGCAAAATATGTTTTGGCTGTGTTCCCATTTACCTCCGGTTGTTTTATAAGAAGTAAATCAGCTTCATGTGCCCACACAAACTTAAACCAGTTTAAATATTTTTCGGTTAGAAGAGGCACATTGGTTAAACCAAGTGATTTGTGGCTGTGAATACGGTTGCACTGAACTGTAGGATATTTCCAAGAGATCTCCTACAGTTCAGTGGGCGTGTAATCGTTTTAAATTAGTGGAGGGACCCATTCGAAGAGCAGGTAAATTAAGTATGCTTAACTTATCTAGACACTGAAGTTATATGTGAAAAAACCAAGAACTTACTGCATTTTTCTAATGACATATGATGCTACCATCCATTCCTAAAAGCATAGGAAGAATTTGCAGCCAATCAATCAAATATTCAGAACTAGAAAATTATCATAAAATTGTTGCATGTTGTGACAACTCCACTTGGTAGGTTGATCAAGCTAAGTCTCTCCCCACCTTGTAGGTTTTTCTATTGTTCAAATCACCTATCTATCTGTCCTGTCTACAGATGTTTTGAGCCCGTGTTAAAGAAAAGACTATGTAATCACCATATTTTTAGAGCTTTTAAAGTTCCATTTTTAAAACATAGGACAGTGACGAGCAGTCTGTATGCCATAAATTCCTTCCACCTGGTTTTATACACTTAGATATATGTGTGCTTTGTAGAGGAGCTATGAAAATTGGTTTAAACAGCGCTGTCCACTTACTTTTGAACTGGTTTTAGTTTCAGCATTTTTCCAGTAAACCGTTTTTGAGACTAACTCAGAAATGGTTGTTGACAGTCAGTTATACATAGCAAATAGTGTGGACATGAACTGTTTTGGCAACAGTTAAACATATTTAAAAACTTTGAGTGGGCAGGCCCTTTACCCCTCTCTGTAGTTGATTATGTCTCCCTACCCCACACAGTGTAAGGAGTTACCAACCACATAATGGTCTAATAATTTGGTTACAGTTTTGTTACATGCAGACTCTTTAAAGTTTCAGCATCTGTCCTACTTTTATAAGCCCACCCCACCATCACCAAGGTATGAGAAGAGTATTGGATATTATGCGTCACTAAGTGTTCGGTATATTCAGTAGTTCATTATTATTCTAACTGTGAGTTGATGGTGTTGTAATTGAATCATAAGAGGGGGACTAGCATGGAGTGGAAGATCTTTTTCTCTTTTCATTCCTTTTAAAAACAAAAGCAACCCTACATATGTACACACATTTTTTCCTATTTTGTGAATGAACCATCCTCCACCTTCTTAATCTCAGAAAGAAAATCATTCTTGTATTATTAAAAAATACTTGTCCTTCTGAGATTGTGTTGGGATCGAAATGACACTAGGCCATATATTACTTGGAATAGGAAAGATCAGCGTCCAAAGGATGCTGGAGTGGTAAATACTGTAACGTGGTTCTTTCTGGGGGTAAGAATTGACTGAACATATTATTCCACCCGCACCAGCTTCCCCCACCCCTTACTTGAACAGTAAAGTTTTGTATCCAGTTTTTGTCTAGCTACCAAAACCTGTGACCAGCATCTCTGGTGTAATATTCTCCAAATTCCTCTAGTTTAAAACTGGGTGCTCGGGAGTCATTTTGGGGCCATTAAATATATCTTTGGAGTGCTATTTTTAAAATCTGTTTTGTAATGCTGTTCTTGAGGGTAGTCAATAAGTTTCCATGGGCTATTTCAGTCTCAAATGATGCCAAGGTTGCTGTGCTTTTAATAATAAAATTTGGTTATGTTTTGGTTCATGATAGTCCTATACAGTATACAATTTACCTATTCTAGTTTACGTCTTAAGGTTGTTAGATGACATCATAACTGCTTGCTCTAAGTTACATAGCAAACTTATACACATAGCTAAAAGAACAAGGAAACCAAATAATAAATGTTGGATGGTTTTCCCTGGCACTGGTAAAAGGCTTCCGCTTTGATGGATTTCAAGAGGAATTAACCACCTTCTGCAGCTCTGAAAGCTGATTTGTGTCATCCTTTTGGAAGTTTTCCAACAGGTTAGTGTCGTAGTAAGCACTGCTAAACAGGTCAATAGTTGTTCCATTTCCTTCACACATTGTATATAAAAGTCCTGGTATGAATGTCCCCATAAAGTTCAAAGCAGACAAATTTGTAATGTGGGTTGGTAACAAATGTCTACAAACAAAATATAGTTTTATTGGCTACTCCTAATGGCCCATCAGGTGCTATACAAAGTTCCCCTTCCTTCTCTTAAATGTTCAGCTATCTGGAGGGTTTGCCCTAGAGGGTTTTGACCATGTGGAGTCACTAAGAGTCCAAGTGAAATGTTGCGTAGAATAGTACTTCCAGCACTTTTGTTTTGGTCACAATTGGAAGGAAATGCCAGGCTTTTGAGAAAACCTGGGTATTTGGTTCTCTGTGAAGGAAAGGAAGTAATAAATGGAAACTGTTCCCTATTAGGCAGAGGGAAAGGAGGGGGGAGAACTCTGGATGAAAACGTCTGGAGAACAGCTATTACGGAGGAGATTTCTTTAAAGTTAAGGAATAGTGGCAAAAGATACACAGTTCTGTGATCGCTGGAAAGGTAAAAAACCTTTCTGCTGGTTTTGCATATAAGGCTCCCTAATGATACATCAGCAAAGTGGTTGTTGTAGGCAGTAAAAGAGCTTAGATTAGCTATAGACGCTCTGCGTGTGGTGTGTGTCATTTCATAAACTTTCACAGCTGATGAGGTAGCTAGGATGAGGGGGGTGAAATGGGGAGTTTCATTTATTATTTGTGGTTAGTTTTTAATTGATTTCCACAGGAAAGTTCTCAGAAAGTTCTCTGCAGTATCTTATTTTTCACTAAGGTCCTATTTTTGTCCACTTTCCAGTTTGGTTGGCTGAGTACGAGGTCAAGTGACTCTACCAAGATCACCCTGTCTTAGAACACAAGTTTCTTCTACACTAGCTTCAAGTCCCCTGCTCTATACTAGGCCCCTAGAGGAAACTAGATGGCTTCCCTCATAGCTCATTCCAAAGCTCAGTGGATAACCTGTACTGTACAGCAAGCGGCCTCCTAACACATTTCTTCTTAGTCTTTTAGCTAAGATCAGATCTAGAATCAGTTTAATATCAGATATTTCCTTTGGGGTGAGTGGGGAAAGATGGGGAAAGATGATATTCATCATTTGCTGTGCAATGGAATAAATACTGTACTAGATCTTCTCTGCCTTTAACTTCTGTTTTCTCAGGTTAATCCTAAAATCTAATATCTTTATTGGGTCTTTTTTAATGGATGCTCAACAATTTTATGAACAAATAAAAATAGTTATGAACCATGAAATTAGAATGCTGTCTGTACCTTGTGTGATACTCTGAACTTTGAATCACGTTTAAGTTTGGGTGCACAAACTTTTACAGAGGTCCCAGCTCCAGAGTAAAATTGGGCCTTGTTTTATTACATTTGACAGTATGGACAACAACACAAAAATTATTCCTCTGTGGTTTTGTTTACCATTTAATGTTTCTGGTATTTTGTGTATTACACAAAGGGGCATTTAAAATGCTGAGCAGTTATTCCTTTGCATACTGTGTATTTTTGAACTGGTCCTATTATTGGGAAAACTAGATTTCCAAGATTCTCTGTATAGGTAATATAGTGAATGGTGCGGCTTAAATGCAAAGTTAGATGGGTTTGGACCATGGAGCAGTGTTTCAAGTAGATGCTTATCTGATGGGAAGAAATATCTAGTTCAGTAATGGCAATCAAGTGTCTTGTCTACACTAGGAAGTAGAACCACCACTGCAAATCTTTTTCAGCAAAAGGTTTCTCCTGAACAAGTATTGGAAATGACTGAAGTCTTGCTTAGACCAGACAAATCATTTCCTGTGCTATTTTGGATATGTAATTGAGACTGGATAATAATGATCTCCTCTCATTTCGTACATGGTAAGCTTTTTGATAATAGTTATGCAGGGCTTCGTGCAGTGGGATCAGGGCCTCTGGGTGCTACCGTAATACAAATAATTATTATTAGGGTAGATAGGCTTCAGAGGTATAGGGAAAGGGGAAATCAGCAGCAGTAAGG